CCAAATCGATGCCATATAAGATAAGCTTCAGCATCGGGATTCATTCCTTTATGGATTAATTTCCAATTATTAAGTTTATCTTTCATTGTTTCCATAAAACCAGCTGTTGTACCTGTTGGATGAACAAGTACAAGACCATGAACACGTGATGGATAGTCAATAGCAAAACGACATCCTATATTAGCTCCAGCACCTTCACCAAATATAACCGTTTGTTGAACATTTAATTGATCAAGTACATTTATTAATTCACTTCCAATTTCATCTAAACTTGGATATTTTCTTGAAACAAAACAAAACAATTATAAAAATTAATCTTTACAAAAATTAAAACTTACTCAATATTTAAAACACTTGCATCATCTTCTTGACCAGGTAAATCAACATGTAACCAAACAATTCGTTGTTTACTATCAAAACAAAAACAAAAAAAAATAAAAATAAAATGAAAATTATACATTTACATACAGTGGACGCATTTCAGGTTGAGAAACAAATTCAGTAAAAGTCGAATCTAGGCAAATCAAAAAACAAAAAAAAAATTTAATAATCAATTTCTAACAGAAATAAACTAATCCATATATCTTACGACTACAACCAAGATCATGTAGAGTCATTACATAACATTTTGCAGTATTACCAGTTTCATCCTAAATAATATATTATTATTATTATTATTATTGTTATGTTACAATAAGCATAAAACTTACTTGAACCCATACAGTATAATCAAGGCCAAGTTTATTTGATCGAATCACATGTTTCTAAATAAAGATTATTATAAAAATCAAGATAAATATAAGTAAACATAACTTCTATACATATATTATTAATCATTATGAACACATTAATGATTTCAATAAAATTCATTCTTTGTCATAACTTGTTGCACAAAAAAAAAAAGAAAGAAGGTGAAGGTTCCTTTTTTATCTTTGTTACCCTTGATAATAGTTTTTCTTATTTTGTATTAGAAGCATAAAGATAAATTTAGAATATGTGTATATAACACAAAAAAAAATCGCACTATTACGGATGAATGAGTCTCTTTTTTTCTTTATTATTAAAAACCCTAGAAATATTCAGAGCAATATTTTAAACGATAAATCATACACACTTATATATGTGATGACATGAATTGATGAATAATTCTCATTTACATTTTCGGAATACTAAATACTATACTTTTTATTTTTCATTTGTTATGTTAAAAGTACTTTTATTGGGTAAATGCAATTTACAATATTTAAGAATACATTTGCCTGTAAAAATATTTACTTAAATCTCCTACAAATGTCACTTTATGTTATCGATCGACGTATAAAACGCGAATAAGTACGTTTAGGAAAATGAAATCTTATAATAACATTTTAGTAACTCACTTGCATTGGTTGAATGTTTGAAAGTTTTTCAAGTAATCCTGCTCGTTCAGTATCGTCCATTTTGTTCGATTAGAATACGAATAAGAAATACGACTTCTATATATATGTATTTATATAAAATGAGCGATGTATATATATATATATATATTTCTTTTTTTCTGGTGATACAGTAATGTCTATTGACAAAAGTGAAGAAAGGTGAGCGTGATTACATATATATATAGACAAAGATGCAAGAGAGCGTGTTGTGATTGGAATGAGATTCTCACTGTATAGAAAGAAGAAAAAAAAAAAAAAGAAAAAAAGAAAGTAGTTTTATAATATGACAACGATAAGAGATGCAACACAAATGATGAAATAAAGTCATTGAAGAAAGTATGAGAAGATATATTTTATAAAGTAACTACGCAATTTGATATACAATATGTGCACATACAAATATTCATGCTCTAACATTCTCGTAGTTATGTTATCTATGCCTGGAAGTTTCTTTTTTTTTTCGCTTGTATGAGTTAATCATAAAATGAATGAATGTGTATGGTGTCAAAAAAAAAACTAATACGAGGAGGGGGGCGCGGCGTGGGTTGTTATAAGCTTGTTGAAATTTATTCGAACGACTCAGTACACGTTGTCATTCTTGCTTATGTTCTTGCCTGGAAGACTGACATATAGAACGATAAAAGAGAGCGAAGGAAAAAAAAGTCTTGTATGCATCGAATAGACCTCTGTGTTCTTTTTCCTTGTTTTTTTCTTTTCTTCTCTTTAACTATTGCGTGCCTCTTAGCACAATTCAACATGAATAGGGCTGCTTATGTCGCGTCATATACGCTCGCTTGTTCGAGCTCAAATGATATTCGATATAAGAAAAAAAATCAAAGACAATATTGAAAAAATAAAAAAAAATGTAAAAAAAAAAGAAAGGTCTTATAACGAGAAACATTCAAAATGAAGAAGAAAGTGAGACATAATTACTTACAGGCAATGTATATATGCTCATAAATTTACATAGTTACAGAGAAAAATCTATACTTAGAATAGATATTGTTTTTTGTCTAATGCAAGATAATACTTCTATTTTATTTTTATTTTTAATATTCATACTCGAAGAATCTTATTATTTCAATGTAATGAAGATGAAATATAAGAAGAAAGATTACAAAAAATTGAGAAAAGGGGGAAAAAAAAAAGAGAGAGTAAAACTAACTGCATATCTTAATGCCCTATTTCATATATGTTGATTTGATTATAGGACGATCAACATGGTACGAGCAAAAAATTATTTGTATCAAGAAAATGTCATTCATATTTACAGAACAGCAGATTCTGGATTTTTTGTGTTTTTTTTTGTTGTTATCCAAAGAAGAAAAAAAATAAGATCTTCTTATATAAGATAATTTTTCGATGGATATTAGAAGTCTAATTAATTCATAGGAACTTATGTAAAGAAAAAGAATTTGTCTTAAAATTAATAATTAAGAAATTTTAAGTAAAATATCCTTGATTTTCTCATTAGTAAAATTTTGTTAATATATCTGATAGATATTATACAAGATTTTGAAGATGGATAATATCTACACAAATTGATTCGTACGTCTTAAGGTTATTAATTATTACAATGGTATAGTTTGTAGTTTTCAGACAATTATATATATACAACACAGAGTTTTAACTAAAGAAGAAACCTTTTCAGATGTCCAAATAGATTTGATTACATCTTTTGATTGAAAAATAGACTTCATTAAGATATAGAAAAGCCGAAAAGGATTCACTTCGTTGAATATTCATTTTAATGAATGTCTCAATCATAGACAAAGTATTTCAGAAGAAATTCACATAAAAAGAATTTTGGTTAGTAATCATTAGAACAAATTCTAAAATATTCACTGTATTTTAATTCGAAACTTATTCATTTGTATTTTTTTCTTCTTTCTACAATATCATGTCAATATCAAGAAATTCAGTAATTCATTTATAACTCAACAATGAAGATCCTAAGAAATAAATCCTTCCCGAAGCTTTTCTATATCTTATTAAAATCTATTTTCTAATTAAAAAAAAAAGCTCTAAATATTTCAGGTTGTCTTATTATAAGTTGATTTTATCAAATTAAGAAAGAAGAATAATTAAATTTATAATAAACTACCTTTTCTTCAACTTGAATTTTCATTTTAGATTGAAGTAATTTTTCATGAGTTGATATTTCCATATTGTTCTCTTTTTTGTGTTGATGTTTATCAATAAATATACGTATATGTCATCAATATTATCTTTCTATCATTAATGATTATCTAAAATAAAACGAGATATTAATACTTAGTTGTTCTAGATATAAATTTCTCATGAATATAAAAACAAGTATAATTTTCTTGACATCTTTTCTAATGTTACTACTTTACATTTTCTTCACTCGCATCAGTTGTAAGTATCATCAATCAAGTAAAATATTCTAGTCAAAAGAAAAAAGAAAAAAAAAGAAGAACAGGAAATGAAAAAAAAAGAAATGTAGAATTATATCTTTTTTTTTATCTCTTATAATAAGGTTGATGCTTTCATTGGACTGTTTTTTCATGAATGGCATAGAACAATCAACCTATTATTTCTTTAAACGCGGAAGAATCATACTCGATAATAACGATGCAATGGTATTAACAAATATGCTTATATATATATATATATATATATTATATAACCGATACTAGCCGATTGTCAATACGAACTAAAAGGGAAAAAAACCTAGAGAGAGAAAGATAAAGAAAAAAAAAAGAAAAGTATTCGAGCAGAAGAATAAACCATCGATCATTTGTATTAATTTGTATTTTCTATTATTTCAATGTACACATTCTATCTTTGATTGCTATTGTTTTACTAATCAATCAATATACTAAATTAAATTGATTTTTTTCAATAAATAAATTATTATCGTTATCATTAGGATTTGTTCAACGATAGAAATTTAAATAAAAAATAAAACAAAACATATAATCATCACTATAATAATAGAAATGATATTAATAAAAATTATACGAAAGTAAAAAGCCACAAGATATAATATTATCATTTTACTAGACTATTATTGCCTGTAGTATCTTTCATATATGTAATATTAATTTAAAAATCTTATTACTAATTACTATATGTTTTGACAATTAGATTGATATTCACAAAAAGTTTACTGTTTTATCTATAATAAACAAATCTAAATATCATACAACCATAATCTGGTTTCCGGATTTGTCATTATAATAATCGGAAACAAGCATTAACAATACACCTTTAATTATATACGAGCTATACGTTTAATTTTTTTTCTTATTCATTATGTTGTTGAATGATATACACCGAAGTATGAACATAGTTTACACTGATGTTCACAGTTTGATCAGTAACGAGATGTATCAATTTACAGATTTTTTGTTTTTTTTTGTTAATTAAAATATTTATTTCTATTGAGTTTTGTCGCATATAATTCGTTAGTTTTATTTTATTTTTAAGAATTTTCTAGTTCAACATATATATATATAAATAAAAAAAAATAAAGGAAATACTTAATGATATGAATTCAATCAAATATTCTAGATAAATAAAAATAGATTAAAATAAAACTTAAAAATTGAATCGATTTTAAATTGGAGAAAAAAATGTATTTGAAGGAGCTGGATAAGTTATTTTAGGTGTTGTTTGATAATGATGTTCATTTATTAGAACAGGTGTACCAATTTGATTTTTATTCATTGATATTAATGATATATTATTATTAATTTCAAGATATTTATTCCAATAATTAGATGACATATTAAGAAAAAATTCAAGTATTTTCGTTTGTTTATATGTTTCACTAACAAGATCAATACCAGATATATGTTTTGATGAATAACCAATAACAGCTGGACCCTAAAAAACAAAAAAAAGATATACATTTATTTTTTTCTTTTTATTTCGGGAATTATTAATTTACCATTATTCGACTTAAATTAATTATAGGCATTCGGCAAAATGGTGATGTAGCAACACGTTGTAAATGAACAATAAGAAATGCTAATGTATCACGATTTGGTTTTGGTAATTGTTGAATAAGTAAATCAAATTTTTCTTGTTTTATTAAATCAAATTCTTCATCAATTATAGATGCAAATGATTTCCATAAAATATCTGTTAATAATGATTCTGATAATGAACGAAGAAAATCTTTAATAACACCACAAATTAAATGTATATCATTATAATGTGATAAATCAAATAAACCTGTACGTGATTTAAGTATTCGTTCTTTAAGTTCTTTTATTTGATTTTCAACACTGAAATAAAAACAAAAAAAAAATATTTGTTTTTTTTTTTTTTTGAAAATAATTATTTGATCATATGAAATTTTTATAATTGACTATTTACAAATAACTTATCAATTATTTTTTTTCTTTAAGAGTGTAGATATTTATGAAATATCGTTTATTTACATTAGAAAATAATATTTACATTGAATTTTATTTCGTTCATCATCAATGAAAATCATCTGGTATATTTACTTTATAAATAGATAGTTTGATTGATTCTATTATTTGCTAAAATTATTCGTACTATTCATATAAGAGACGATTCCCTTAAAAGGGTTCTTATTATTTGAACTTATTGACTTTCTTTTTCAAGTCTACGATTTAAGAGTATTTACGAATGGCTGCGTCACATCTCAATAAAACATTTCTTCTCATCACTATATAACATTAGTTGTTCAAGGAAAGTTAAAATATTCTTAAAGAATATGGTATAATTTTGAATTAACAGTATCTTATGATGCGTTTCTAATCCATGTCAAATAATTTTCATCAAAACCGATGGTTCACTCCTTTTATGAAATACAATCTAAAAGGAGTGCTGAAGTATACGAGTAAAAATTTGGTATTGCATTATCATTCGTCGACAATTGGCTTAGTCAACAATGTATTTTTTCCTTTCGAAATGCAATGACAATAAGAACAATGAAACTTTCATCAATTCAAATTTAACATACTTCAGTATGAGTATGAATGAGGGGTATATGTAAATCTGCATCTACATTCTCTCGCTTTTGGTAGGAGAGAAGAAATGAATCGAATTAATAACAGAATAATTTAATTTTTCTCCATGCTGATCTTTATCTCTTTCTTCTCACCATGTATATTCTTATTAGTTTACTACTTATGTATGTTATTTTCTCTTTTATCTTACTCAGTAGGGATGTAACACATCCGAAGTCTTGAAGTTTGATAAGATAAAGTGTTAGAAAGAACTATCAACTTAATCAGGAGTGTGGCGATGTTAGACAATGATTTTAAGATTCAAATACTTAGAACTTCGTCTCAAACTCCAACATGGATTTTCTGATTTTTTCTGCTCTCGTAGTAAAATAAAACTTTGTTTCTGACAATTTATCTTAACAAACCTGCGAAATTTAGGTTATTGGAAAACAAAGCCGAATATAACTCCCCAAATACAACTTCACGGAGGCTGAATTCAAATTCTAAAATTCTTGGCCCTAAATATCCACATAGACATTATTGATATACCATTACAGACCGTATGTCAATAACATCTTGTTATAATACATGAGATACTTTCTTATTGTATTTCTTGAGGATTAAGTAAAAGGACGGTGCCTCAAAACAAATAGAATGAAACAATTTCTCTATGATTAGCACCAGCAGCAGCAGCTACATTATATTTCATATCTTAATTCCACAGAGATTGCGCTAACAGCTCTTTTCTTATTAATTTTCTTTTTTTATTTTTCGATTAAATTAATATTGTCTGTCTTGAAGAGGTCGATTGGTACTCAAAAATATCGATTTTATTTTGTCACATTATTTCATATCAGATGTCGCAACACTTTTTTTTCTACTGATTAAATTTTATGATTACTTTTATCGTGCCATTTTTAATAAATAATTAAACTTAGAAAACAGTCGATGTAGCGCTTAAACACGCTCACAGAAGTAGGCGCAGTTTCGATTGAACTTTCTAACAATTAAAAAATATACATGCAGTGTGATGTAAAAAAAACCAACTCAAATAGAAGAATTATGATTTTTGCGACTAATCTAAATTAATTGATGATAATTTTATTGTAATAAAATAACATACACATTCAATCGATAGATTCCAACTTCTTGTAATCCACGTTGTTCAATTTCATTAATACAATGTATAAGTAAAGCAGGTATTTGTAATTGATTTGTTTCTCGTGGACTAAATTTTGATACAGCACCATGATTTGGTGTTTTAATATTTGGTAAACAAAGTGTTGTACAATTTTCTTTACAACCCGTATGACATAGAGCATGACATGTTTGACAACGATAAGCTAATTTACCAAAATGTATACGTTTGAGACACTAGAAAGAAATAAAAAGAGAAATTCGAATAGATTTTATTTCATTTTAACATACTACACAACATGTTTCTGGTATAAGAATATTTCTTGAAATAAAATTATGTGTTTTTGTATATAATCTAGTAAGACTAGATGGACTTGGTTTGATTATAAGATTTGATATTGGTGTTGATGGTGATAAAATTTTTTGTTCCATTGATGGACTTGTTAATTTTGGTAATATTGGATTTATAGATGATAATAATACTTGATGATGATGATGATCATTATCATTATGTTTTGACCAAAATATATCATCTGTACTTAATTCTGATTCTTCTACAATAGATATATTTTCATTCTTTTTTCTTTAAAAATAAAATAGTTTAAATAACCTGATTTTGTATTTAGAAATTCTTTTGATGGTTTTCGTATTTTTTGTTTTGGTCTTTTATGAATTGATAATGAACGTCGACATGATACAGGTATTGGTGATGTACATAATTGATTAGTTTTTGATTCATTATTGAAAGGAGTTGTTGTAACAGTTGGAGGAGACTAAAATTCATTTTCTTTTTTATTTTAATCAATTAAGCACACTCTCTCTATTAGAAAATCCAATTTCGAGATTTATAGGATGTAGGTAGAATAGAAAGAACTATCATCATAACTTTAACATGATATGTACTTCTAAGAGCAATATGATATATCTGCATATACGCCATTTAATAAGGCTTGATGAAATAAGTAGACTTATTTTGAATAGAGACACATACTAATTATATAGCAGATAGTTAGAATTAGATCGTAATAGAACCTGATTATTGAATGAAAAATAAAAAAGTTTATTTCTGAGAGGAAATTAATAAATATTTACTTTATTATGTTTTAAATCAATATCATTATTATTAATTGTTCGTTTTATTTGATTAATACCTGTTGATTGACTAACAACTTTAGGTATATGTGAATAATTATCATCATCATCATTAATTTCATCACCGGTACAATTTTTATCAGATAAATCTGTTGTTATTTCACTATCCGACATAAGAGAATTTCTAGAAATAAAATTATTTTATTTTATTTTTTGAATTAAATAATAAACAAACCGAAGTATATCATATAATTGATTATAAGTATTTTGTTCAATTATTGTACCTTTTATTCGATCTAAATATTGTTGTAATTGAGTACAACGTTCATTATTTCGTTTATTATATTGAGTTAAACGAAGAATTTGTAAACTGAATTTAATATATAATTAAATATTTTAATAATTAAGAATATTTTTGAATTACCTTTGTGATTGAATTTTTTTATCTTTACGTGCTAATTCTAATCGATTTTGTTCAATATATCGATTAAGTTGATCATTATATGTACGTAAATCAACATATTTACGACGAAGATCATTGTGAAATGTTAATAAAGTACTAAATTCTATTTTAAAAAAGAGAATTAAGATGAACCTATAATGTAAATTTTTGGACTCAAAAAAAACTTTGTCTACAATATGAGTGGTCATTTATAAATGAAAAGAATGTTTTAGATATAAGATAAAGGATTTCAACAAACCTTGATCACAAGAACGTTGTGCTAAAAGATTATTTTTTGTAAGTACATCTTGATAAGCAATTAAACGTTGTAATCGTGCTTTAAAATTGGCAGCCGTATTAGTCTCCATAGCTAGTCATACAGTAAAAAGAACTGTTCAAATTTATTTACTATTTTTAGAAGTAAATCATTCGATATCAGAAGAGAGAGAGAGAGCTAGTTCAAAAGATTGGGTCTTTGTAGACTGTATCCAATTGAAATTTTGAATTTAAACATCAAGAGTTTATTTCATTGTGCATATATAGCTGAAATAAATGTTTTTAATTGAATAAATTCAAGAAAAGGATATCATTAAGAATAATTTAATTGTCTAATAGATGGCGTTCTATACTAGAACTGCCAACAAGCCACGTTTTTCAATGCTTGCAGGTCAGACTAAAATTCAACTTGGTCTGATAGCCTACCAGGCAGCAGCAGACCACAGTAGTATAGAACTTGTTATAATTCGATATAAATTTTAAACTTATCTTCGAATTTTCAACTATACCTATAGCTTGAAGGTTCTAACCCTTACATTATGTCATGTGACTTTAAGATTTTCGCCTTACCTTCATACCCGGGTTGAACAACTACACTCATAAACGACCGTAAATCATCGTATTTTGGTATATTACATGAATGAATATAAGAGATATAGAAGATGTTAGAGTTTTAGTCCTAGGTCTGTATATCCCCAGCATATCACAGAAATGATAGATAATTGATATAATGCGAGAGAAACATAGAAATGACATCCGAAACCTGATCGATATATAAGATAGGCGGATGTGGTTTTTTTCTGTTTCTCAGAACGATGCGATTTTATTAAAAGATCAATTTGAAAAAACATATGTTCAATTGATGCTGATGTAATGGGACAACACATTATTTTTTCTAGCAAGCTTTTTAAGAGATTAATATAAATTTTCTTTGTTTTTTTGTAAAATATAAAATCATTGATTAAATTTTTTCTCCTGTAGAAAAATATCAATTTCTTATGAAACTGATTTTGATGTTGAATTATTAACTTTTGCTTTTTTTTGAATGAATGAGACGAGTCAGCAGCATCCGACTTTCAAGTTCGAGCCTTTAAACGAATGTGACTCATGACTTGGACTTGTCCATCCTTATAGCTTTGGATGAATTATGTTAAATATTGAAAGCAGTAAACAATGTAAGGTGCCGGAAATTCAAAATCACAGCAAATTTTTTTTTTGTCTTTTTTTGTACTTGGTTAGATAGAGGGCACGAAAGTGATTATAAAAAAGTAGTTTTCAAATTTTCAAAAAATATTTTTGCCAAAAAAAAATTCAAAATGGTGCAGAACCACATTTTTGGACAAAATGGGTCAATTTTTAAAATGATGCCATATTTTTGTTTTTTCATTCTTTTTGCTTCTCCAAACCAATATTTTCTTGTTCCTTGTGTGAAACTGACTATAGAGAACTATATTAATATAGTTCTCTATAGTCAGTTTCACACAAGGAACAAGAAAATATTGGTTTGGAGAAGCAAAAAGAATGAAAAAACAAAAATATGGCATCATTTTAAAAATTGACCCATTTTGTCCAAAAATGTGGTTCTGCACCATTTTGAATTTTTTTTTGGCAAAAATATTTTTTGAAAATTTGAAAACTACTTTTTTATAATCACTTTCGTGCCCTCTATCTAACCAAGTACAAAAAAAGACAAAAAAAAAATTTGCTGTGATTTTGAATTTCCGGCACCTTACTTAAAATTCTTCATCGAATATTTTATGAGAAAAAAAAAATACACCTCTTTTTTTTATTTATGCAATTTATGGATGAAACTACAAAACAACATTTGTTTATTCATTTGTCAGCATATACCTACTTTTTTTTTTGCAAAAATGAATGATGACAAAAAGAAAAACAACAAATTAAAATTTGTTCTAGCTACTTGGATGAATCATCTGCTTCAGTTACAATATAACTGCTGCAGATTCAGCAATAACTGGCAATCTTACGCAATGCTTTTTAGTTATCATCTGATAGATCTAGTTGGATTATACTCTTTAATAATCAGTATAACACACGCTATTGATTTAATGCTATCTACTGTTTATTTCTATAAATCCATTTTATATCTATAAATGCGCAGAGTTTCGTTAAGTGCTTTAGTAACATCATCATTTTTAGCTCCAGTTCTCTTTTTTTCTCGTTTTCAAGTCGACCAAAATGCTTGAAATAATCAAAAATATCATCATCAAAAGGAAATTTATTTAATTGTGCAAACTTAAATAAAGTGATTCGTATTCTTTCTTAAGTGCATTTATTATATTTGTCAATCATTTGACCAGAAGAAGTTATATTTGTGACAGCTATCGCTAATCCAAAAGATGGAGACTGATCTAGTGCAATTGACTCTTATCAGTAAATCTGAACCATAGATTTATATGTTTGTGTCATACACAACCAAAATGATCAGATAATTAATCATTTTTATAATAACTACGTTGAAATCATAGTTCAACAACAATCCTTCCTGCAGGAATTATAGTTTTCAAAATATTCAAATTCTTATAAAAAAATGTGTTTTTTATTACTCTACTTTCTGTATAAATCTATTCGATACTTTCCATAATCCGTATGTCACAAGATATCAGTAAAGTATGATAGAGTATTTTTGGGCTTTATAGCTAGACAGACTTGTATAATATGAACTCAAATTAATATACTTGTGACAAACGTTGATACTAGATTTGAAATAAGTAAGAAGTTCTAAAGGATAGCTTTGATATACTCTTGGAGTACACTGCAGGTTAGAATCTTTGCTTTTTCTTCCCTTGATAAAAGGCCATGATCTTCTATAGTGGAAATTCACATCGCTCCTTCTAGAGTTGTCTTCTATTCCGGATTAGGTCTTTGTTAACATTTACCCAGAAAATTCTTCTAGTATTCAAGCAGACAAATTTCGAAAAACCAAAATTTTTGTTCTTTCTCAACAGGACCGAAAACTTTTTTTTCTTGCATTCTATTAGAAACATAGATACGCTCCGTTGGCTAAAAAAAAAATACAACACATGCTCCGGATGTTGATTGCTTCAAACCATCGCTGTTTATTTCTTCTGATATTCATATTGATCTTCAGTAAAGTCTAATCAATCCGAAGGATTAGTACATAGTTTATTTAAAAAGTTTATCAATCATTCTGTTCTTATACAAAAATTTCCTAAATCATTAGATTATTTTTCACGAATTTTTCCATTAAAGTCATCATTCTCCATAAATGATACTTTATTAGAACATCGATTTAATTACATATTTAAAATTTCATAATAAAATATCAACTTCTAAAGTGCAATGTTCTCTTACATCCTGTTTGTATGTAAAAACAAGATGAACGAACGAAATACAAAAGACATAAATTATTCGAAGATTGCGTAAGGTAATGAAGAAAGAAAAAAACTAAAAGCAATTAAAGTTGAGAAAAAAAAGAGTGCGTGTATACCAAAGGAAAGACGTCTGGGTTAAAAAAAAAACAAAAGAACAAAAATCAATATTTAATAATCAATCTTTCCAACGTTTAAGTTCATTTTCTAAATCATCAGATTTATTATTGTTTGAAGCAGAAGCAATACGTTGTGATGATGAGGTAGTATTACCAGTTAATTTTTTATTTTTTGATTCTTCATTTCCATCATTTTCATCTTCGAAATCTTCATCATAATTTCTATAATAATTAAAAATTTATTTAAAAACAAAAAAAAGTAATGTTTTGTTATTTAACTTACTCGTCATCAAGATCATCATCATTAGCTCCATCTTCATGTGTTAAATTATCATATTCAACTTCAGCATATTTAACCCAATCTGATACTTCAGGTGTATCAGGATCCTATACAAAAAATAAAATAAAATGAAATAAAAACAAAAATAAAATCTTCTTTACTTTTAAATTTGAAAAAGGATCTTTTTGTTCATTAGCTAAATATTTTTCAAGATTAATAAATGTATCAAAAAAAATATTTGTTAATTTGCATCGTTTTAAATCTTTTAAACGTATTTTATTTTCTTCTTCAGGTTTAATCAAATCAAGCATCTAAGAAAAATAATTCGAAGAAATATTTCTTTTTTAATTTATTCCTACTTGACATATACAATCTTCAAATGGCATATATTCAATACCATATATTTCCATTTTATGTATTTGTTCTTGATAGAAATAATCTAATTCATACATAGATAAAATACCATCACCATCTATATCCATACAACGAAACCAATATTCAATACTAAAATATAAAATAATTAAAGATAAATTTCTTTTTTCTTTTTGTGAAACAAGATCTAAATGGAGTGTTGAAGTCTATAGTATAGAAATTTGCACCTTCTATCACGGGGTATTTTTCTATAGACCAGGCGAACTTATGATTTTTTTTGACTTAGAAAGATCTGACAAATTCAAATTGTCAATGATATTTTTCATACTTTTTCTTAAGCTAGAAGGCTGAAATTTTTATCACATATATCTCTAATTAAGATCTTTAATTTCCCAAAGTTTCAGCTCTATGTCTAAAACTAGTGCTGAAATGTGCATAGACAACATTGAAATATATAAATTTTCGTACTTAATTTTGATAACATCTTTATCATTTACTCAATCGCAATAGTGTTCAAGTATTATTTTAACTATATAGGAACGCATATATATCCTAAAAGTCTTCAAATTTAATGACCAATTTTATCCGCAATGTCCATCAGTTACGAAGAAAGAAAAGATTTTAGGTATTTTGTATTGAATTTAAAATGGCTCAATAAAACATGGAATGTTGTCCCGCATTGTTCGCTTCATTCAAAGTTATGATAATCCGTCACAATTAAAATATAAATCACTTCACAACTGTGTATCACGAATATTAAAAAAGAGGGACTATTAATGATAAAAAAAAACGATCTGATCATCCTGTGACAGTTACAACATCTGAGTTTCAACAAAATGTTAATAATTATCTTAGATTGACAAAGGGAGTTTCTATTAGAAAAGCTGATGTTAATGTTGACAAAGAACAATTTATGTCATCTACACCTTCCATTGATCGAGCAGTTAAAAAGTGCAAACTAAGGTAGT